CCAGGGGGAAAGCTTGAGGCTCTGTCTCAAAAAAAAAAAAAAAAAAAAGAAGACACTCCTCTGACTTGCCGCAGCTCCCTAAGCTCCCTTCTGCCACTGCACTTAACATTTCTCTCTTTTTTGCTATTCAAAAACTCCTTGACAATAACCTTAGTCATCTATACACCACAAATGCTCACTCAAAGTTTAAGAGACTGAATAGAAAAGTACATACAAAGGATCAAAACCACATGATCATTTCAAAACACAACACACACACACACACACACACACACACAAAACCCTGACAAAATCTAATGTCCTTTCATGACAGAAACACCCAAACCAGAAACAGAGGAGAATGTCTTCAAACTGATAAAAGGCATCAGTGAAAAATCCAGAGCTAACATCATACTTAATGGTGAAAGACTAAAAAAGTTTTCTCCTTATATTAGGAATAAGACGAGGGTCCCACTCTCACCATTGCTAGTCAACATTGTACCAGAAGTTCAGAGTCTCACTGTGTCCCTTTGGTAGAGTGCCATGGTGTCACAGCTCACAGCAACCTCAAACTCTTTGGGCTTAAGCAATTCTCCTGCCTCAGCCTCCCAAGTAGCTGGGACTATAGGTATCCACCACAATGCCCGGCTAATTTTGGCTATAGTTGTCATTGCTGTTTGGCAGGCCCAGGCTGTGCTCGAACCCACCACCTCCAGTGTATGTGGCTGGCGCTCTAGCCGCTTGAGTTATAGGCACCGAGCCTGTACCAGAAATTCTAACTACAGCAATTAAGCAAGAAAAGCAGATAAAACAAATCCCTATCTAGATTGGAAAATAAGTAAATTCATCTCTATTTGCAGATGTCTTGATCTTATACCTAGAAAATCCTACAGAATACATACACGCAAATTATTAAAACCAGTACATGAGTCTGTTCACCAAAGTTGCAGGATACAACATCAATATACAAAAATCAATTGTATTTCTGTAACTAGCAATAAACTCCGAAGTTAAATTAACAATTTCATTTATAGTACCATCAAAATAATAAAATACTTAGAAATTTGACAAAAGATTTAAGACTTGTATACTGGTAACTAAATATAACCACTGAAAAAAATTAAAGATCTACATAAGTCTAAGTAAGACAAGCCCAAATAAGACATCTTCACATTCATAGACTGGAAGCCTTAATATAGTTGAGATGGCAATATTCCCCACACTGACGTACAGATTGAACACAATCCCTATCAAAATCCCAGTGACTTTTTTTTTTTTTTTGCAGAAATTGACAAACTGTAGCCCAGGTGTTGTGGTGGGCACCTGTAGTCCCAGCTACTTGGGAGGCTGAGACAAGAGAATCACTTAAGCACAAGAGTTTAAGGTTGTTGTGAGCTATGTCGTCACAGCACTCTACTGAGGGTGACATATAACACTCTGTATCAAAAAAAAAAAA